AGGAGATCCACCACCATTGTTGTGTGGGGAAGCAGGTGGGTGATCGGGAGAGCTGCCACTGTTGCTATGTGTGGGGAAAGTGGGTGGGTGGCCAGGAGAACTGCCATCATTATTGCGGGGTGGTGGTGGAAGTGGGTGTGTGGCTGGAAGCTGCCACCACCATTGCTGCTCCTGGAATGGGTAGCCAGGAGAGTGATAGGGGAGCAGAAAGAGATGGTGTGGGAGGCAGAGAGAAAAAGAATGATGCGATGGGGGCAGAAACAGGAAGTGTGATTAGGTGGGGAGGCAAAAAGAGAAAGAGAGTGATGGGATAGTGGGCAGAAAGAGAAAGAGACAAGCACGGGGGAGACAGAAAGTAAGAAAAGGGGTGGAGGAAGGAGAAAAACTGAGAGAAGTAGGGGGAGGGAGAGGAAGCAAAGATGGGGGGAATGGGATAGCTGCTCCCGTGAGGTTTTTGCAGGTGCTCACTAGCAGTACTTGAACTTTCAAATAATATTCATGACCAACAAATTATAGACTTTCTGTGTGGGCACATAAGGCCTCTCATTTATTACATTCCTTCCTTTTCCTCACACTTTATTGTGCTGTAAAGTTGTGTCTCTAAATAATTCTTTTTCAGTTTTACAGGTCTAGCATAGATCTGTCAAAGGCTATTGACTAGAACAGCTGAATGGAACCTCCTTGTCCATAAGTAGTATATCTGTGAAACCAGATTTTTTCACATCCTTCTTTTAAGCTCCAAGGCATCTGGCTGATTGACAATGCTGAATCAGTTTAACCTTTATCTGATCCAACAAGACAACTTGTTCCCAATTTCTCTCAATCCATCTCTGCTGAAGCGATCTTAATTCTATCAACATGGTCATTACCAAAACCTCAGAAATCCAAGTCCAACTCACAGAAGGAAATAACAGCAGCATAAGCAGCTGTTTCTATTTGCCTGCCTGCTCTTTTTCCAGAAATTACTTACATATCTTGGTCCAGCTTAAATCGTTAGTGAAATTAAAGTGGTCAAAGAGAGGTATGTGAAAAGCTTCTCTCTCCACAAGATAGCAATGAAAGATAAAAGATAAAATCTTTATATAGAACATCACATTTTGCAAACAACTGTGCTCTGTTATAAGAGAACTTTTCATGAGACACATGCCATCAGGTAGTGCATATTTTTATTTAGATCAAATGATGGAGATTGTGTGCCTGTGTATTTCTAAACAGAATGATTTTAGTTCTCCTCCTGGTACCAGTGTTAAACTTCAGAAATAAAAATGCCAATATGTACACTAATCTTTGTGCAAAGATGACAATAACAAACACAATCAAGCTTGCAAATTGAAAACATTCGAGATGCTTTTCTAGCTGTAAGAAAGTCATTCAGAGATTTAACAACAGCATTCAAAATGTACTCTCTTGTAGATTTTAGGGATTTATAGCCAAGAAGCAATTCTAGTGAGTACATCTATTATGTGATATTATGAATATATTTTTTATGTATGCAGCATTCTTAAAACTCTTACAAAGCTAAAACAAGAACAAAATTTGCAGCATATTTCTCCAACAATGACAAAACTATCTGGGAAGTCCATACAGAAGGCATAAAAGCAACAACTCTCCCACACTGGTTTTTTTTTAATATAAGCCCCCGGAGGGGATTTTTTATTTTTTTAATACTACAAAAACTACCAAGAAAAAATAGGGATAGGGGAACTACATTTAGGGAGAAAGGAAAGGCAACCCACACTAAACTAAAAGCCCAAGGTTAGGAGATCATTCCCTATTAAACTACCGTTAGTAAAAAAAAAAAAAAAGGCTGTTAATAAACAATATACTTTGTGAGGACCTGTCCTTCTATTATTATTTTTTTGAAAGCTTTATTGACTCCCCTAAAAAGGGGAGGTATTTCGCTAAGAATTAGAAATAAGGAAGGGTATAAAGAGGGACAAAGAAAAGAATGAGTGGTATTAGTAATCTGTTAATCTGTTAAACTTTTTATAGTCAAATCAGAGAATCCACAGGTTTTTTTTCCTTTCCTTTTTCTTCATCATCGAAGATTCTTCTTTTCATCTAATAGTGTTAACCAAAATAATTAGTATGTTAATACTGTCCTTCTGGTATCCATTTGTACTTCCAAAGTAAAGTCCAATGAAAAAAAATAATTTTTAAGCTTTAGTGTCTTTCCCACTTTTCCCTCTCAGGTTATATTTTGGACCCATCGCTCCTCCTTCTTCTTCGTCTTTCACCTCTCCTTCCGAGCTGCTGTCTTCTACGCTTAACGTCGACATCCATTTGGCTAGTTCTGCACCTTCTTCTTTACTGACATGCTTTTTCAAAAAGTCTTGAGCTTTGAAGATGGAGTCAATCTTCTCTCTTTTATCTTTAAATTTGAAAACCAGTCCTTCTGGTATCAACCATTTATAGTTCGTTTGATGTTTTTGTAAGAAGGTAGTCAGCCCTTTATACTCCTTTCTCTTCATTCTGATTTCAAATGGAATATCTTTCAAAATCTTGATCTGTTGATCACCAATTTTCAGGGGTGTCGGTGATGTAGACTTTAAAATCTGGTCCCTGAGACGCTGTTTTGAAAATTTCACTACCACTTCTGCTGGCAATTTATTTTTCCTTGTAAAGTTGGAATAGGCCCGATAGGCCAAATCCATCTCTTCTTTTATTTTATCCGCTTCAATGCCAACCAGGGGTGCTAGTGCAGTTGCTAAGATATCTCTCAGGATCTCCCCATCTTCCTCTTTCAATCCCTGAAAACGTAGAATAAGGTTGGATTTTTCCATTTGAAGCATAAGCAGTTTATTGTCTTGCCTTGCTTGGTGTTTTTCCACTTTTTGGACCTTCTTCTTAACAATCTGTACTTCTTCTGCTGATACAAGGCACTTCTTTACAGTATCATCCATCTTCTCAGCAACTTCTGTCATTTTCTTTTGCT